TATGTGTTCAGGCGTCTCGGTAATGAAATCCGCGACAGCCTTGTAGAAATCGTTGTTTCTTTTTTCCCCTAAGCGCCGTTGTTTCTTTTTTGTGAGAGAGGCGAGGTCGAATTTAAAAACTCTCAAGCCAAATAAAAATCCAAGAGAGGAGTGGGAGGGCGGGAGAATCCAAAAAAGCCGTCCAAAAAGCCACAAAAAGCCAGCGAGCCTCCCGTTACGCGATTGCCGCGAAGCGCAGCATGATGCATGGCCAGCGCGGGAGCAGGCCGGCGCCGACGCTGCCAGAACAAATACGAGACCTCGACCGACGGACGGCGGCCCTGCGGGCGAGCATCCGCGCTGCTGACGACGTGCTCGAGACTGACCTTCAGAGCGACGAGATTCTCGCATGCTTTGAGGAGGCGCTCGGCGAACGGCAGCCAGAGATGGGAACGGATGCTGCAGCAGGGCGAGAGGCGAACGCCGAGAGTGCGGAGGCCGCACTAAGACTCCGACAAGCCAACGCGACTGCTCGGAGCCCGAACCCTGGCCCCTCAGGTGGCGGCGTTGTTGCGGGTGTGTATGACCTCCTCCACGCTCGTCCTCACGGTCCCCGGCAGCGCTGGAGAGCACGACGTCCGCTCACTCGTCCTGGCGTACGGCGCTGTGCAGCTCTTACGCGAGTCGCCAACCACCTTTCACGCAATGTTCGAGACTTGCGAGTTGGCGCAGGCCTTCTTCGAGGGCGAGAGCGACCTCTCGATCGCGGGCGAGGCCGTGGCGCTGGACTACTTGCCTCGCAAAAGACGAGCAGAGGAGGCGGGGATCGGCACCGACGCGGCGTCGCCGCCGCCCGACGCCGAGATGGCCGAGGCGGCGGCAGCACAGGGATCGACAGCCGCGGCTGCCGCCGCCGCCGCCGCCGCCGCCGCCGCCGCGCCCGCGCCCGCGCCCGCGCCCGCGCCCGCAGCCGCCCCTCCGCGCTACACGCACGAGGTTGCGCTGCCGCCCGACTGGCCGCCCCTCGCGGCGGGCGATCCGCTCGCGACGCTGCCGCTGCCCGCCGCCTTTGAGGCGCTGCAGTTCCCCTTTGAGCTGGACCCGTTCCAGAAGAAGGCGCTCGCGGCAGTCGACCGCGGCGAGTCGGTGCTCGTCGCGGCGCACACCTCGGCCGGCAAGACTGTCGTCGCGCAGTACGCCGTCGCCACCTCGCTGCGCGGCAAGCAGCGGGTCGTCTACACGTCGCCGATCAAGGCG